CGGGGGGGGCTCGGGGGTCTCGGGTCTGGAGGGCCTCTGGGTTCTCGGGTCTGGAGGGCCTCTGGGTTCTCGGGTCTGGAGGGCCTCTGGGTTCTCGGGTCTGGAGGGCCTCTGGGTTCTCGGGTCTGGAGGGCCTCTGGGTTCTCGGGTCTCTGGTCCTAAGTTCCCACCAAGTGCTTCAGCTTTCTCCCACAATGTAGGCTCAATTTCTGCTTTGTAGCCATGTGTGATTGATTTGATGTGGGATCAGCATTTTTTTTTATGGAGGAGGGAACACTTGTGCGTTGCCGCAGTGTGGAGGAGAGTTCATGCTTTATAAATGGTAATCTTTTAAGGGCTTCTTAGTCCATCTCTCTGTTTGAGGGGGTCGGGTTCAGGGTTTTGATTTGGTTTGATGGTACTGGTCCCTTCTCTCCTGGGTGGTGGGGTACTGAGCCCGCAGTAGTCACTCCTTACCATGGCAGCCAGATTCTGATTTCTTTTCTGATTGGTGGGACAGCTCTGGTCTGTTTTCTTTGTGGTGTTGGGGTTTGGAGCCCCCTCTGTTTGGGGAGATATCTCTGGTTCCTCCTTTCCTGAGCAGTCGAGTTCTGAGTCCTCCTCTGGTCCATGTCCTCCTGTTGGGTTCTGTACCTGAAGCTTTGCCTTTGCCTTTTTTGCAGCACTTTGAGAAGTGGCCAGCTCACTTGCCGATAGTGGCTCACGCGGAGAACCAGACGGTGGCAGCAATCCTGATGGTGGCTCAGCTGTATAAGCGTTCCGTGCACATCTGCCACGTGGCCAAGAAGGAGGAGGTGAGTCCCCAGCCTGTGCGAGGCCTTTAATATGCCGTAAGACGTCCACTTATCGGGTCTCTCTGCCCTCCTAGATCCTGATCATTAAGGCTGCCAAGCAGAAGGGGATCACGGTTACCTGCGAAGTGGCGCCCCATCACCTCTTCCTCTGCCTGGACGACCTTGACCGGATGGGGGACAAGAAAGGGCAAGTGCGCCCGATGCTGGGGACCCGAGATGACATGCAGGCCTTGTGGGACAACCTGGACATCATAGACTGCTTTGCTACTGATCACGGTATAACTTCTGAGCGCTGATATGGAGTTTTAAGATGCAGACATAGGCCCGTGACTTTACCCAAAGTACTCATCCGGTGACCAACTCCAGACGGAATAGTGCCAGTTCTTTCTGGGGAAGGAGAGGAGTACATGAGGGGCCGCCTTATGATGGGGCCACCTTGACTGCTGCCAGGGCTATACCTGCAATGTAGGAGCACAGTATAGGCACGGGATGACTGCGAGTATCTGAGAGCGACATGAACAGTCCTTGGTCTGGCAGAGTGTTGGCACAGGAGGTTGCAGACAGTGGGGCAGATTTCGGGAAAGGGGTTTATCGACAGTCTTTTCTTGTTGATATTGATCTGTTCCTTCTACAGCCCCCCACTCTGTGGAAGAGAAGGAAGGCCCAAACCCTCCCCCCGGGTATCCTGGCCTGGAGACTATGCTTCCCCTACTTCTAACTGCTGTAAGCGAGGGACGGCTGGCGATAGATGACATCATCAAGCGCCTGTACGACAACCCCCGCAAAATCTTCTCCCTGCCGGTCCAGGACAATACATATGTTGAGGTAAGTCGGAGTATATCCAGTGGGAGGAACCCCCTTCTCATCTCATTGACCAGATCTCCCCCCTTCCCACCTCGTCCTAGACCATCGGTTCTCAACTCGTGGGTCACGACATGGGGGCATTAGCAGGGGCTTAGTAGAGAACCTGCCGTGGTGGCCCTGCTAATGCCCCCCCTTCCCCATACAGACACCCTCACCACCCCCTCCAGGTTGTGCACTGACAGGGGACATTAGGACAGGGTACATTGATGGACATTATGTATTCCAAGCCCACATAATGTCCATCAGTATCAGTGGCGTAACCAGATTTATGGGCGCCCGGGGCAGACATCCCCCCCCCATTATATAAACATCCACTGGGACTGTACCCCGCAACCGCCACCCCCACACGTTTTTTATTTTAAATTTTTTTTATTCTTATATAAACTTTTTAATTTACATTCATTTACTTTCAGTTGTTTACTGTTCACAATGTTCATATATATATATATGTATCTGAATACTGCACAAGATGCTTTGTGTAATAAATTAAAATGTTTCAGAAATGAAATAATTTTTGGGTCACGCCTTAATGACCAAGGAAACATGTGGGTCCCGAGGTTACACAGGTTGAGAACCGCTGGCCTAGACCTTCCCCACCTGACCTCCTATATAATCTCCTCTACCACTCGTACTTCTACTTTTCTCTTCCCTTCGTTCTCTTCCTCATCCTTTTTCTTCTTGTTTTGTCCTCCCGCTTCCTTATGTGACGCATGTTACCTGTAATTCTCTTATTGACATCTCATTTCCTTTTTCAGGTTGATTTGGAACATGAGTGGGTTGTCCCGCAGTCTATGCAGTTCACCAAATCCAAGTGGACGCCATTTGAAGGAATGAAGTTGAAGGGAGCCGTGCGTCGAGTGGTCCTGCGGGGTGAAGTGGCCTACATCGATGGGCAGGTAGGTCCTTCAATCAGCCGTGTACTGTATGTGATGCATAGAACCCAGAACCCAGCCAACCTTCCCGGATGCTCTGTCTTGTAGGTCCTTGTGCCGGCTGGTTACGGTCAGGATGTCAGGAAGTGGTTGCCTCCGCTGGCTCCTCACACTCTCCCCACTCAGAGTAAAGACATCATTAAGGTAAATAAAATGCTTCAAATTCAATTGTTTCCATCAAAAAAATGTTCTTGTCGTATAGATGCCATTTTCTGACGTTTTCGGCTGATGGAGATGTTTTTTTCTTTCAGACCCCAGAACGCCATCGTCACGTGACCATGCAGAGCGAAACCATTCGTAGCCGGGCCCCCAGCCCTCGGAGGACCGCCCCCGCCGGCGACGCTCGCTTTCATCTGCCACCGAGAATCCACCGCTCCTCCGACCCCGGCCTGCCAGGTGAGGTGACATTGGCGTGACTCGTCGGGTGGCCCAGAAATCCAAACGCGCAGCCCAGCTAGAGGCGCGGGGTCATCTGTAGAGGGCAGAAGGTCCTTGGCGGGGAGGGATCGTGTTCTCGGGAGGAGTAGAAAGGGTTCTTGTCGCGCTCCTTACTGGAGATCCCACGGAATGGGAAGGGTGCTCGTAATGACTGCAGATGGCGCCGCCGTATGCATAAGATATGAAAGCTGTCACCGGCACACCGAATAATACATTAGTATCCAGTAGGGATGCACCGATACCGATACTAGTATCAATATCGGTGGCCAAATTCCGAGTATTTCGGCAAGTACTTGTACTCGCCCAAATGCTCCGATGCCTAGCCCGATACTTCCGGTATCAGGAAGCCGGGCAGCCCGTCATTGCACGCTGCCCGGCTTCGCGATTGACCGGAAGCTGACCTCGTGAGGTAAGGTTACCTTACCTTAGTATGTGCAGCCCGTCACCCCTGGGGCCTCTCCAGCGAGAATGCTGGCTTCATGCTCCCTCGTCATCTCATGACAAGAGAGCATGGAGCTGGCCTCCCGGCCAATCAGAAAGCAGGGCGTCGCGTCATTACACGGCGCCCGGCTTCCTGATTGGACGGCTCCGGCTGGGTACCGGAGGAAGGCCGCGTTATCGCTGGAGAGGCCCCGGGGGATGACGGGCTGCACATACTAAGGTAAGAGGGGACTTTCTCGTTAATCGGGAAGCCGGGTGGCGACTCTTTACACGCCACCTGGCTTCCTGAATGGGACTTCCGTTACTCGGCGATTGGTATCGGCGAGTACTGAAAACAAATTATCGGTACTCGTACTCGGTACCAAAATACCGGTATCAGTGCATCCCTAGTATCCAGTCTGACAAGTTGTTCAATAAAATGAGCATTTGGTGATTCCAAAAGGATCTTCGGTGTGCCGGTGACATCTTCTTTCACATTTATCACGCTTTCGGGAGGTGACAACGCTACAAGTGCCGAGCTAACACCTCCGGCCTAAAGGTGCAATACCCCCTAACGAGATATTCTCTTATGTGAGGTTACAATTGACCCGGAGAAAGTGAAGACCGCCCGGTACACTGTAGATTTCGTGTGAGGGTCTCCCTGCGCATTCAATGTATATTCAGTCACGTTTCAGATCTCTCATTATTACATGTACATAGGAAGCGCTTTGCTTCACTTTCCCTGCCCTCGGAGCTTACGCTCTAAGGTCCCTATCTCACATACATACCACGGTCAGTCTAGACAGGAGGCAATGAACCTCCCAGCCTTGGCATGTCCGGGAGCAGACCTTACCTGGAGGAAACACACAGAAGTACAGGGAGAAGCTGCAAACTCCATGCGGGTGGAGCCGTGCAAAGGCAGATCTACTAACCACTAATCCGCTGTGTGTGGAAGGGAAAGGCGGTCGTGAATCGGAGTGAGAATTCCCAGTATGGGAGAATACCTGGATGAGGGGAATGCCGGCAGGGAATATTGGGAAGAGGAGGTGGGTTCAGGAACGGGATTGTTTAGATGCCTCCACATGTCCTGTGTTGGCAGCGGGTGTCTTCATCCATCGTTCTCCTAGGGATTGGATGATGACCTCCTCCTATTATAACATACATTGTGGTGTCCAGTATCCAGGAGGATGCCGGTGACTCAGCAAAGAGGGAACGTGGTGAAGATAGGTAACGTCCCGAGCACCAACTATTGATATTGTTCTTAATCCCTGAGCCGGAATGGCCGATGTCCTGAGACGTTTATCCCAGAATGTGATTATTTTCCGATGAGCCAGAAATCATTAATACATCTTGTAATGTGTAAATGGGACCCGCGGGCGGCGCAGTCTGGGGTGCGGAGCTCCCTCCCGGGTAAACGACTGCCGGCCTGGCCATTCCTCGTCATCCTTTCCTGTCTTCATAATGAAACCTCTTCATAGACACCAGCAGGAGGTTGGCATCACGGCGGCCATGTTTACCCGGGAGTGACTCGGCCCAGGACTGCGGCGCTCGTCCACCACTTACACAATTGTATCTCTGATTCTCCTGATTGGATAGAAGAAATCGAATGCTCTAGAACCTTGGTTCTCAACTGGTGGGTGCTGACCCAAAAGTGGGTCTCGACCCCATGTTCAGTGGGTCACCGCATTTCTTCCACTTTTCTAGACAAGAGACTCCTCAGCCTCCCCCTAGCACAGCACTGTCAGTTCTCATGCCAAGCAGCCATTCAAAATATGCTGCCCGGCGCCGAGTGTCAGCTTGGGGTGGGGTAGGAAGGGGTTATGGCCGCGAGGGAGCTCCATCCATATGTGTATTGCTTACAGCTCCCTTGCATGTCCTATAGAGGTGCCTGGACCGGAGTGATGTCACATTCTGACTCCTGGCACCTCTACAAGGGTGCACAGGGGAGCTGTACCCCCAAATGCACATTTGGATGGAGCTCCACCACAGCACAGCAGCTCAAACTGGACCCCAGGCTGAGGATCGCTCCAGTTCTCGTAAGGTAGGGAGACTGGGTGGCAATCACGTTCTGGTGTGGGAGGTACATTGCATTGCCATTCATTTGAATGGCACTCCTAATGCCTCTGCCATCCAAAGCTCTATCGCTCCACATCAGAAAGCGCGGTACCGCAATGCCGTGCGTTCCATTGCCGTGCAACTTGGGTCGCAACTTAATGACCGAGGACAAATGTGGGTCCGGAGGTACACCGGTTGAGAACCAATGCTCTAGATTATCACTGCAGGCCAGATTCAGCGGCATGTAAATAGGTGACTGGTCAGCTGATGGGACATCACTCTGTGTATGCGTGTCCCTGATGTTGGTTCCTCCATGTGGGGGTCCCGGTATCACAGCTAGAATCTCCTCCATGACGGGAGTACGGATTTCGGGTGATGCCGTCGCTGAATGTTAGACCGGTAGCTTTGTGCCGCTGAATGTTGCCGGAGCCTTTTTGTATAATTTCCGGTGCTGGGTGTAGCTGGTGGGAATTTTCCAAGCTCTGTCATTGGTGGTTAGTTAAGTCTCCGCCCCCGCAGAACATGCAGCTCTGACCCTGGAGCCACATACATCCATGCTAGAACTGTAATGGGCTGCCGTGTACCCCAACTGGAGTGGGTGGCGCTCGGACTTGTTTCTGGCCTGTTCAGTCCCTGTGGGTTGAAGAGCTTGGCAGATTTCCTCCTCCGTGTTCATATGTTTGTGTGCATACGTGTGTTCATGCGTCACTGACCCCCCTGCGTGTGTTATGTCTGCAGCCGAGGAGCCCCTGAAGGAGAGAGCCAAGAAGTCCTCAGACACAGGTCAGTGTTGTCTTCTGATTGTGGAGGATGTGTGACCCGTCTACCGTGTGACCCGTCTACCGTGTCTCACACACGCCAGGCAGGGAATCTGTGTTGGGTCTTTACCATGGACGGGTCTTTTTACACATTGACGTGTCTGGAACTTCCCAAACACCTTATACTCTCATCCCCAACTCTCTCGTGGTGCTTCCCAATCTGCCGGCCACTGCTGCAAAATATATCCTGGTATGGGGGGAACTTGTGACTTCCCATGATGCACTGCTCATTCCTAGAGGCTAGGCAAGCAGTCGAGCTCTGTGCATGGCTCTTCTAAGCACCAACATCGGCGTTTTAGTGGTGACTGCAGCTGGGGAGTGCTGATGAGGTGATTATAATGGGGGGCGAGGGGGGGGGTTGTGGAGGTTGTGGCTTAAGGATCTGTTCCGACGGCCTTGGGCTTCTATCATTGGCATGAGATCGTTTAAAATTAATTGACCGGTCCAAATCAATTTAGTTATTGATTGCGATATAATGAAACTAATCTAGGAAACTAATGTTTACTCCTAGATTAGTTTCATTATATCGCAATCAATAACTGAATTGATTTAAATGAAATTGGATGATTTTTTTTATACATCTATCGATATCCTCCGTCATGGAGTCAGGAAGGAATTTCTTTTACCTTTCCCGAGGGCATTATTGGCCTTAGTTGCCCCAGTGCAGATCATTTTTTTTTTTTTTTCTGGGCCAAATCCGCTGGAGTTTGAGGGATCCGGGTATTTTCAGCCCAGATTACGCTGTAACTGATGTCTGTGTAGTGATATGTGCCCGGGTACAGCAAACCGCACTAACCTCCATTGCTCTGTTTTTAGATCTGTCTTCTATTCAGGACGGTTATTTCTACCCGCCTCCCATGCCCCGGCTCATGTCGCCCCAGAACATGGCGATGCAGAGTATCCCCCATGTACAGACCTCGCCCCTCCTTCACCCGCTCATTGGACAACACATATTGTCCGTCCGCCAGTTCACCAAGGACCAGGTCAGTCCGCCAATGTGAATGAATGGCTGCGTCTGCCTCTTAGGTTCTCACTAAGTCACATCAGAGAAGTTTCTTCTCTTCTGATAATGGAAGTCATTCGGAATTCACTGACATCCTGTATTCCCATAGACCTACATGTGTTACTTTGTATCTCTCTATCTCCCCCTGATCAATGTTTATATACAATGTTACTTTGTATCTCTATCTCCCTCTGATCAATGTTTATAAACAATGTTACTTTGTATCTCTCTATCTCCCTCTGATCAATGTTTATAAACAATGTTACTTTGTATCTCTCTCTCCCCCTCTGATCAATGTATATAAACAATGTTACTTTGATCAGAGGCCGATAGAGATACAAAGCTGGATAAAGAAAGTGATTCCATATTTTCTGTATGGACGCTGAGTTGGAATTTTATGCCAGCCACTGTTTTAGCAGCAGGCACTTTGTAATAAAGACAGGTCCACTTCGTCCAATGCCTGGACTTGATAATGTTTCATGAAATGCCAGATTTAGTTGTGTTCATTGGATGTCATCTCTGTCCCCTCCCAGATGTCTCACCTGTTCAATGTGGCGCACACGCTGCGAATGTGTGTGCAGAAGGAGCGCAGTGTCGATATACTGAAGGTAACATTGATCACAATATTGCAGTTAGAATTTGTTCTGAGCAGATTATTTCCGTGTTTGTCTATAGAGACCGAGGGCAAGGGTCATTATTTAGTGTGTGTGTGTATTATATATA